TGGGGGAAGGCCGCGGGGGGGGGGGGGGGGCGGAGGAGAGAGCCGATCATCAGGATTGCCGAGCGGTATGAGAACAGCAGCAAGAGGGGAGGAGAGAGGAGCCACTGTCATCCTGTCAGTTTTAGGATGACAGCAGCTGTGTGCATGGCCGAGCGGAGGATCGGTAAATATCATATTACCAATCCTCTGTGCAGAGCAAACACTGGAGTGATCAGCTGATCCCTCCAATGTTTATAAATAACTGGGAACAAGTAGTACTATGTGTCCCCAGTTTTGAATGAACAGGAAGTGCTTTACACCACTTCCTGTTCATTCGTGGCTATATCAATGGGGGACTTTCTCTGTTTTTTTTATTATTGGTATTACTGTTGGGGGGCTTCGGGGGAAATATTAGTAAAAGAAAGAGATACAGAGTCCTCAATCTCTTTCTGCAGCCTCTGTTCTAAATGAATGGAAAGTACAGATGCTTCCCATTCATTCAGAACTGTTGATAGTAAAACATTTACTATCAACCAGTTTCTGAATGAGGAGAAGCCTCCGTAGGGAGTGCTTCTACCCATTCAGAAACTCATGAATAAACAGCAAGTGATGTAAAGCACTTCCTGTTCATTCATAACTTGGGACACATAGTATGTCCCCAGTTGTTTACAAACATTGGAGTTTTCAGCGATCACTGCAGTGTTCGTGCTGCACACAGAGGATTGGTAAATATTACACATATTTACCAATCCTCCCCTCTCCATCCTGAGCCACTCGGCCGCGCACAGCGCGCCTGCTCTCTTGGCATCCTCCCCGCTTGGCCATCCTGATGACAGCACTCCCTCCCCCGCCCCCCACCGGCTTCAGCGCTCTGTTTCTCCTTGGATCCCCGCTGCCTCTGCCCATACAGGTGGGGAAGAGCAGCGGGGATCCGAGGAGAAACCAATCGGAGCATGGTGCAGCTCCAGGCGGGGAGGAGAGAGCAGGAGCAGGGTAGTGGCGGCTGGGGGGGTGGCCGAATTTGAATGAATAGCTCTAATCAGTGGCTTGTCAGCCGCTGATGACAGCAATTCTTTTACAGGGGCCTGTCGGAGGCACCCTTCTGATATAAGTTCATGATCGTTAAAGTGACCATGAGCCTATAGCAGAAGGATGAAAGCCACCGACGTAAGGCTTACTGATGTGGTCAGCTGCAAGTGGTTGTGTTCTGCCGTAAGTTAATGCAAAAGAAAGGGTTAAAAGTGCACTTACACTTTCAGTGGTAAGGAAAAGGAAAGGAATCCATGTTCAAATAAAAATAAAAGATTTGGTGGAAAATACAATAAAGCTGCAGTGGAAAGAGGTTAGCCGTCCCTTCATAACATAAAAAAAAACAAACACTCTAACATTACCACCGTGCTAAAAAACTATTGCAATTACTACTTACAGTTAATATGCCAGAGCTAATGATGATAAATGTCCTTAACATATGAGCATATAATATCATTACAGAGCTTTAGCAATGGGTCCCAATTCTGAGGACAGTCAAAACCATACCCATGAGAACCAGTAATGATCTTAGTGGTTAGATGGAATAAGTTCCATAATAAAAAATATAATATAATATTTCCTTATTCCATATGGTGTATAATTGTGTCTAAAATCTTAAAGAATGATCCACCCTTAATTTACAGATGTGGATTTTCCCTCCAAAAACCCACAAGGGTGTGCATGCTGTTATTTTACAGTTCCAAAAGTGTAGATTCTGGTGCTCGCGCCAACCTTGTGACCCAAGATTTCCTCCTCTTTTCTCCCTGATGAGCCTCAAATAAGGATTCTATATGCTTTTACATGTGTTTAGTCGCATTTACAGCTCGGATCCTGGACACACTGAATTCTATTTTCTCTAAACACATCTAAGCTGAATGCAGGTAAATGCAAAGTCTGAATGATAACATCTAAAATAAATTACATGCATTTATTTACATTTAGAAATTTGCTCTAGATGCATATTTGAGCGTGCTTATGAGGCCTTACATTTGTGCATATTGTGAGTGCTATTCATTTTACATTGTATTGCAGTCTGCATTTCTCCTCCTATTTTACAGCATGCGTATACATTTGCCTGGTGGAATAGACGAGATCAAAGTTTTTGTCATATGGTTGGGTGAAAAGCAGCATCTACACCTTCAGATATATAAAATATAGGCAGGAACAGCACACACACTTTTGTTTTTGCGGGCATGATCCACAGCTGTGAATTGAGAGCGGACAATTTATGAGGATTTCTGATACAAACATACAGCATCTGGAGTAAGAAAACATTGTTTCGTTATAATCTGAAACTCATTCTATCAAGCAATAAGATCACCGACGGTTCTTCTCTGTATCGAGTGGTTGTAATTGACCTCAGAATTGGGGCTCCATTCACACATGAGCGGTTTTCTGCACGTATTTGCGTATACGGAAACGCGCTAAACATAAAAAGCAATGCATTGCACTATGCATTCTTCAGACTATTGTGGCGGCCGCATGGTACAAAACAGTATGTCCCGCAAAATAGTTCAAGCGCGATTTTATGTGCAGATTCCACACACTCTGGCTATAGTAATAACCACAAAAGCGCGGAATTGTTACCGTTTGCGTGGTTTCGTTCCGTGCGGAAACAGCTACCGGTATGTGTGAATGGAGCCTGAGCTCTGAAGCCCTGTAATTACCTTGTGTGTTCCTTTTAGGTTAACAACATTTATAATAATTACCTTTGGCATATTAGTTGTAGGAAGTAGTGGCTGTCGCTGTTTCTAGCAGAGTGGCAATAAAAGAATGTCAAAAAAATAGCTGAATTACATTTGCTAAAATCCTTGCAATGTATAAAACTGGATTTTTTTAAAGTTATATTTTAAACATTTGAAAAAAATGTGAGCATTGAGTTTATTCCTTTTAGCTATTTGTCTATCATCTTTAAAAAAAATTAAAGAATTTTAAAAGGAAAAGGTCCCTCTACTTTACATGATTTGAGGGCGATATGGGGAAAACACCAATTCTTCAATTACATGCTTGCAAGATATCTTTAAGCTATATGCGGTGTTAAGGAACGGCGTGATTCTCCAGGACAGGGTCAGCGACAGCATATTCTGGCATCACATCATTTGTATGTGTAAAATATTTGTTAAATTTTTAAATATTCCCTGGCTTACCTAAAGCAGCAGCAGCACTTTAATTTTACCTTATTTTCTAGGTACTTTTTGCTGTGACACATGATTTTTTTGTAGCAGATTGGGCCAGAATCAAGCCTTTCAAAGTATTAGACAGAACACATCTAAAAGATATCGAAAGTAGTATGCACCGATACCAAGTACAGTACTCGGTACAAGTACATGTAGAGATACTTTTCGAGCTCCAATACTAGACTAGAGAAAAATGCAAAAGTTAGGAGGCCGCTGTCATTTGTAAGGAGCACACGG